TCGAGGACGACGTCAAGGAGGCAATAATCTCCCACTCGAACGGAGCCAAGGTACGTGAAGAGGCTCTCTTCAAACGACACCCAATTGACTGCGGTGGTGCCGTTGAGGAGCTCGAGTTTGTCTATTGAGGCGAGCTCAAGTGACGAAGGTTCGTCCGCCATGACGAGTGAGGGAGGGAGGGAAGAGGGGAGGGTGGAGGTGCTAGAGGTGACGACGCTGTCCGGAGGGACGGCGCGGTCAGTGGTGGAGATGAGCTGCGTGCTGTCCGCAGCTGGTTACTCCCCCGTCTGGTCGCGTTCGCGGCTGCTGCCTGCCTCCACGGCGGCTGCCCGCGTTCGTCCCGTCCGTGGCGGCTGTCCGCGGATGTCGCATCCGCGGCGGCTGTCCGCGTTCGTCCCGACCGCGGCGGCTGTCCGCGGATGTCGCGTCCGCGGCGGCTGCCCGCGTTCGCCCCGTCCGCGGTGGCTGTCCGCGGATGTCGCGTCCGCGGCGGTTGCCCGCGTTCGTCCCGTCCGCGGCGGCTGTCCGCGGATGTCGCGTCCGCGGCGGCTGCCCGCGTTCGTCCCGTCCGCGGCGGCTGTCCGCGGATGTCGCGTCCGCGGCGGCTGCCCGCGTTCGCCCCGTCCGCGGCGGCTGTCCGCGGATGTCGCGTCCGCAGCGGCTGCCCGCGCTCGCCCCGTTCGCGGCGGCTGTCCGCGTTCGTCGCGTCCGCGGGTGACGGCCGCGTTCGTCGCGTCCGCGGCTGACGGCCGCGTTCGTCGCGTCCGCGGCTGACGGCCGCGTTCGTCGCGTCCGCGGCTGACGGTCGCGTTCGTCGCGGCGGACGGTCGAGGTGAGGAGAGGAGCGCCGAGATGGCGCGAGGGGCACGGCAGAGCCGGCGGACGTGCGCTAAGTAGCGCGAGGGGCGCGGCAGAGCCGGGGAGAGGTGCGCTTAAGTGGCGTGAGAGACGCGGCAGAGCCGAGGAGAGGTGCGCTAAGTGGCGCGAGAGGTGCGCTAAGTGGCGCGAGAGGTGCGCTTAGTGGCGCGAGAGGTGCGGCAGAGCCGGCGAGAGGTGCACTAAGTGGCGCGAGGGGTCCTAGGAGCGGAGTTAGCCGTAAGAGCTCTGATAGCATGTTAGAATTGAACCAGTCACTTGATTAGGAATCATGAGGGTTTACATAGTGGAAGCTAGGGGAGGGGGGGGTTGGTTGGTTACCTAGCCAACATTATTGGCCCCCCACCAATAATTTGGGTTGGAGAATTATTGGAGGGTCCCAATAATGTTGGCCAAAGGTGGGCCAACATTATTGGGGGGGCCAATAATCTCCCAACCCAACCTTGGAGGCCAATAATTGGACCAAGGTTGGGTTCCAACCCCCAACTAGGGTTAACCCTAGTTGTGCACCCAAACATAGTTTGGGTGCCTATCTCTATCCTAGGGCTTATAGGATCAATGCAGGATACAGAAGAGTAGTATAATCTAACACTGGTGAGCTGGTGAGCTGGTGAGCTGGTGAGCAGGTGAGCTGGTGAGCAGGTGAGCGGGTGAGCTGGTGAGCTGGTGAGCTGGTGAGCTGGTGAGCGGGTGAGCTGGTGAGCTGGTGAGCAGGTGAGCCGGTGAGCCGGTGAGTTAGTGAGCTGGTGAGCTGGTGAGCTGGTGAGCTGGTGAGCTGGTGAGCGGGTGAGCTGGTGAGCGGGTGAGCTGGTGAGCGGGTGAGCTGGTGAGCGGGTGAGCGGGTGAGCTGGTGAGCTGGTGAGCTGGTGAGCTGGTGAGCTGGTGAGTGGGTGAGCTGGTGAGCTGGTGAGCGGGTGAGCTGGTGAGCTGGTGAGCTAGTGAGCTGGTGAGCGGGTGAGCTGGTGAGCTGGTGAGCTGGTGAGCGGGTGAGCTGGTGAGCTGGTGAGCTGGTGAGCTAGTGAGCTGGTGAGCGGGTGAGCTGGTGAGCTGGTGAGCTGGTGAGCTGGTGAGCTGGTGAGCTGGTGAGCTGGTGAGCTGGTGAGCTGGTGCGCTGGTGAGCTGGTGAGCTGGTGAGCTGGTGAGCTGGTGCGCTGGTGCGCTGGTGCGCTGGTGAGCTGGTGAGCTGGTGAGCTGGTGAGCTGGTGCGCTGGTGAGCTGGTGCGCTGGTGAGCTGGTGCGCTGGTGCGCTGGTGCGCTGGTGCGCTGGTGCAGGGGCACTAGGGCACACTGCATGTGCCACAGCAGCATCAGCCATGCTGGGATATACGCACATCCTGAGAAAAGACTGGATGATCCAGGTGAGCTAAGTTAGGGATGAGCAATATGACGAACTCCTGTTCGGTTCGCCTCGAACGTGTTCGAGGCGAACCGAACAGGATTTTTTTTTGGCCAAAATTGTTCGGGGCGAACGTGTTCGGTGTTCGCCCGAACACGTTCGCCGTTCGCCCGGCTCAGCTCGCCGAGGCGCGTCGAACACGAATGTGTTCGTGTTCGACACGAGCCTTCGACAAACACCAATGTGTTCGTAGACGAATAGGCCCGCGGCCAATTTTTAGGTCGCGGGCCTTGGTGTTTGGGCTCAGATCTGGCCTTTCGCAGTTAGTAAAGTGCAGATCTAGCATTTCGCCATTGCTTAAGTGCAGATCAAGCATTTCGCCGTTGCTTAAGTGCGGATCGAGCATTTCGCCGTTGTTTAAGTGCGGATCGAGCATTTCGTCGTTGCTTAAGTGCGGATCGAGCATTTCACCGTTGCTTAAGTGCGGATCTAGCATTTCGCCGTTGCTTAAGTGCGGATCAAGCATTTCACCGTTGCTTAAGTGCAGATCTAGCATTTCGCCGTTGCTTAAGTGCGGATCTAGCATTTCGCCGCTGCTTAAGTGCGGATCTAGCATTTCGCCATTGCACGCTGGCACTAGATGGATGAAGCAGGGCGGGACTGGCTTGGGAGGTGGGGGGAGAGAATGTGCGACGATTTGAATTTTACTCTATATTGAATTTCCCCCTGGGCGAACACGAACATGTTTGCCATGAACATGTTCGTGTTCGCCTGTTGCAGCAATTCGTTTGCCTCCTAGGGCGAACGGCGAACACCTATTTTCACTCAAGTCGTTCGCCGAACCGAACACTGTTCGGTTCGGCAGAAGGCCATGTTCGTCAGGGGGCGAACACGAACATGTTCGAGTTCGCCCCCTGCTCATGCCTAAGCTAACTCTAGAGGCGCCTCAAGAATGATCGAGGCAAGTTAGTGAGGTGGGGTGGGGAGCTGTAGACGCTGGTGATGGCTGCTGGCTTAGGATAGGTGGTACACACCCCATCCCCATCTGCCTTTTGAGTCGACTCAAAAGTCACTTGGTGATGGATAGGTGGTGCACACCCCATCCCCATCTGCCAGCACGGTATCAGCCATGCTGGGGTACACGTACTACACGCACATACTGGCTCTCTAAGAACTGGCTCTTCATACACGTTCATACTGGCCTCCGCAGCCCACCTGTTCGACTTCGACAGCTCACACCCCATCCCCATCTGCCAGTACTGTATCAGCCATGCTGGGGTACACGTACTACACGCACATCCTAAGAAAGGACTGGGGTGAGGGGCTGGGGTGGTTTGGTGGTGGACCGTGGTGACTGTTCATGGCTAGCGGCAGGTGGAGCTGGGGTGGGGTGTACAGGCACACTGCATGCGCTACAGGCACACTGCATGCGCTACAGGCACACTGCATGCGCTACAGGCACACTGCATGCGCTACAGGCACACTGCATGCGCTACAGGCACATTGCATGCGCTGCAGGCACATTAGGTGAACTACAGGCACATTGCATGCGCTACAGGCACACTGCATGCGCTACAGCATCAACCATGCTGGGGTACAGCTGCTGTGCCACAGCATCGCCCATACAGGGGCACACACACATACACGCACACACACACACAGTCTGAGGAAGGAATGGATGATCCAGGTGAGCCTGTGTAGCCACGTGTAGAGAGGGTATTTTTGAGACGTCTCAAAAATACCCTCTCTACATTTGAGACGTCTCAAAAATCGTCCATACAGGGGCGCAAACACATACACGCCGCACAGTTTGAGGAAGGAATGGAATGGATGATCCAGGTGATCCTGTGACTGCCCCTCTCGCCGCGTGTGTGCCCCTCCTTCCCTTCCATGCCCCTCTCTCCCTCCCATGCTCTTCTCTCCCCTCTATGCCCCTCTCTCCCCTCCATGCCCCTCCCTCCCCTCCATACGCCTCACTTTCGCCCATGCCCCTCTTGCCTCCCATGCCCCTCTCTCCCCTCCCTCACCTCGCGTTCTCCTCCCACTCCCCTCGTTCCCTCTGTGCAGCCTCCTTGGGACAGAGCAGTGGGCGATGCATACATGATTCACTACACCTATGGCTGTGGCTACGACCTCCCAGCTGTCAGCTGTGGCTGTCAGCCTGCGACCATGACCTCCCATCCCATGCCGCGCTTATGCATCCATGCCCCCCATGCCTTCTCCCCCCATGCAGCCTCCCTGGGACAGAGCAGTGGGCGATGCATACATGATTCACTACACCTACGGCTGTGGCTACGACCTCAATGCCTCTTTCACCTCCCATCCCATCCCATTACCCTCTCCCATCCCATGCCTTCCTCCATGCAGCCTCCTTGGGACAGAGCAGTAGGCGATGCATACATGATTCACCACACCTACGGCTGTGGCTACGACCTCAATGCCTCTTTCACCTCCCATCCCATCCCATTACCCTCTCCCATCCCATGCCTTCCTCCATGCAGCCTCCTTGGGACAGAGCAGTAGGCGATGCATACATGATTCACCACACCTACGGCTGTGGCTACGACCTCAATGCCTCTTTCACCTCCCATCCCATCCCATTACCCTCTCCCATCCCATGCCTTCCTCCATGCAGCCTCCTTGGGACAGAGCAGTGGGCGATGCATACATGATTCACCACACCTATGGCTGTGGCTATGACCCCAATGCCCCTCTCCCCTCCCACTCCATCTCATTGCCCTACACCTATCTCATTACCCTCTCCCATGCCATGCCTCCCTCCATGCAGCCTCCTTGGGACAGATCAGTAGGCGATGCATACATGATTCACTACACCTATGGCTGTGACTACGACCTCAATGTAAGCACATATGGGTAGAATAACAAACTTGCTGAGAAGAGAGTGTTATGCTACTTTGCATGACCTCCCAACTGCCAGAATTCAAGACACTAAGGTGTGTGACTATGACCTCAATGTAAGCACACATGGGTGTACTGTCTTAGAACACACATGGGTATAAGAACACACGTGGGTATAGGAACACACATGGATATAAGAACACACATGGGTATAAGAACACGCATGGGTATAAGAACACACATGTGTATAAGAACACACATGGGTATAAGAACACACATGGGTATAAGAACACACATGGGTATAAGAACACACATGGGTATAAGAACACACATGGGTATAAGAACACACATACAGAGTGGGTAAGAAAGGGTTCCGTTGATGACACGCAAGGCATCGTGGGAGGGGGGGTGAAGTATTTTATGTGGACAAGTGCCCTTGTTCGAGACGTCTAAAAACATCACTTTTATCACGTTATGACACGCTGAGCATAGGGGATATGGGGGAGGGGCGGGAAGTGAAGTGTGCTATGTGGACAAATGCCCTCGTTCCCATCTCGTTTTACTGCCTTTTGAGATGTCTCAAAACATCACTTATATCACGTTATGGCACGCTAAGCGTAGGGGGTAGGGGGGCGGGGCGGGGCGGGGGGTGAGGTATTCTATGTGGACAAGCGCCCTCTTCCCATCTCGTTTTTCTACCTTCCATATCCTCCCATCCTCCTCCCACACATTCTACTCCCAGGGAAACCACCTGCCAGGCAAGGTGGGGCCATGGCACTTTGACAAGCGAGACCACCAGACAGCCATCCCCCGAAACATCTCCTACCCACCTGCTGGCTCCGCTCCCTCTGTGGTACGTTGTACGCGCCATTAGTGATGCCTTCTGGTTACTTGATTAGTGTGGTAACCAGGTTACCTGCCAGGCAACGTGAGTCCATGGCACTATGACAGCCATCCCTTAGTTGGTACTTTACGTCCATTTGGGACGCGTAGACGTACATTTACGCATGCCTTTACGTTTACGTTTTCTTACGCGTAATATTACGTAAAGTCGAACGGGCAGGATGTAAAAAAAAAAATTATATATATATATATACCCTCGAATTTCTGTGGGCAAGATCGATAACCAGAGATTATGTCTTATTACGCGAATGACAAGGGCAGTACGACACGAACGATTGGACGGACTAAGGTCGCGTTAGGTATTGGGTACTACGGACTGGATCTAAAAGCCTTACTAGGTCGCGCGACTGCGTCTACTAGGAAACTGGACTTCTAGATTACGAATGACTGGGAGGAAGACTTGGTAGTATGCTTACGAAATAGCCGTGCGTAGAATAGTTGGTTGCGATGGGTGAGGTGTGGGTCGTATGTTGAGTCAACTGTTTCAGATTGCGACGAACATGCAGATCTGTCGCAAAGCTGATAGCGAATCGAGTCAACGGAATTGATTTTCGCCAACTATGCCAATCTGTTGGAAAGATGCGTGAAACCAACAATTTTGGGACACGTGGAAGCTCAAACGCGTTTCCATCACCAACACTTTCGTGCACACCTTCTATGCACATGGAAATGTGTGGACTCGTTACAAAATTCTCCTTCGCTGCAGCACACCTTTGCGACGGAATTTCGCGAATGGGAAGAGGGATCGTCACTCCTTGAGGGTACAAACCAGCATTCGAACCAGAGTTTTATCTAGAGCACAAGAGACTGAATCTAGATCTGGCTAGTTCTACGTACTCGGCTGCGTCCTTGCAACCATGGCAGATCCCGCAACCATGGCAGATCCCGCAACCAAGGCAGATCCCGCAAAGGTAGCATTAGGCGACGATCACTTCATCTGGCGCCACTACGAAGTTCCCAAAGGAGGAAAGTCAGATTCAAAAATTCCAAAGCGTTGCAAGTTTTGTAACAACGATTGGCCGTTCACCGTGACCCGCGCTCAAGCTCACCTCCTCGGAAGCGGAGGCGGCGTTAGTCCATGCTTGAAAGTGATGCCTGAAGCGGTAGCAAAAATTCAGGATTACCTTGTGCAGAAAGATCGGAATGCGCAGGCGCGCAAATCGGCAGCAAGCCGTACATTGGCTGCAATGACGAGTCTGACTGGGAGTAATAGCTCCGGTAGTAGCTCCAAGGACGAGCCTGCCAGTAGCAGCGGACGTAAGCGACCAGCGAAGCAGAAAACCCTTATGGAATGTCGTCCAGGAGCCGGTGACATCGCTAGCGCGCAGCAGGCCATTGCGCTGTTCTTTCACGTTTGTCGCATCCCCCCCCATGTGGCAGAGCACGATACGTTCAAGCATATGATAAGGAAAGTGGGGGCTGCCGGTCCCGGTTTCCACCCTCCAGGACGACAACTCATCATGGGTCGGCTCCTTCAAGAGTGCAAGACCAATACCGAAAAGGCCGTGAAGCCGATCATGGACTCATGGAGCGATGTGGGTGTGTGCATCGCGAGTGATGGATGGACGGACACTCAAGATCGTCCTCAACTCAATTTTCTCGCGGTTAACACCTACGGTGCCATATTCCTCTTTGGTGTCGACTGCAAGGACGTGAAGAAGACAGGAAGCTTCATCGCATCACACTTCCTGAGGGCAATCGACATCGTTGGAGCTGAGAACGTTGTTGGCTTGTTGATGGATGGTGCAAGCAACAACGTGAGCGCGCCCAACATCATCAAGCTGCAGTATCCCAAGATTCAGTTTGTTCGATGTGCTGCTCACTCATTGAACAACTTAATGACGGATATCGGCGGCCGTGAGTGGGCAGCAGAGACTATTACCAAGGGGCAGCAGCTGATCTCCATTTTGAAGAATTCACATTGGATTACCGGCCAGTTTCGTGAGCAGAATTCTCTCGTGCTGCTCAAGCCTGCGGGAACACGCTTCGGGACGAACTTCATCGCCTTAGAACGCCTACTTAAGGTCCGGGAACTGCTGGATCGCTTGGTGGCCAGCCAAGCGTGGAAGGACAGAACCATGGGAAAGGAGAAATTGGTGTGGGCGCGTGACGTGATCAGGTGTGATGAGTTTTGGGATGGAGTGGTCCGAGTGCTCAAGGTTTTCAAACCAATCTACGTGCAGCTCAGGGCGGTTGATGGTACGCAAGAAGTCATGGGCAAGATATATGACATGATGTTCCTTCTAGAGGACTCGGTGCGAGACGCATGCAAGGATTTACCGGAAGAGGAGAAAGAATGGATTGCTGAAGCGGTGCGAAACATGTGGAATAATTCCATCAACTGCGCGTTGCACGTTGTTGGGCGCATTCTTTACCCCCCCAACCAGTTTGAGAACATTGTTGGCACCGACCGGGAGTGTTCCGACATTTTCAGAGGCTTCATCCGGGACTATTTCAAAGGAGAGTTTGTAGTCGATGAAGATGGGGACCGGCACCCCGTTGCAACCATTGTGGAGAGGGAAATCAGGGCGTACATGAAAGGGGAGGGGGAGCTTGGTGAGGAAAAGGCGCGGATTGAGAAGGACCTCATCAAGAAAGGGAAGATGGATCCGGCTCAATGGTGGGAGTTCAACGGATCGCATTTGCCCCACCTTTCAAAGCTTGCACCAAAGGTCCTCAAGCAGTGTGTTTTGGCATCATCTTGTGAAACCAACTGGGGGATATGGGAGGGGATTCATACGACCCGCCGCAACCGCCTCGGTGCAAAAAGGCTCGCCGACTTGGTGTACGTAACGCACAACTACAACACCGTGCGAAGGCTGAACTTGGACTTCGAGAACAAGCTGAAACTTTCAGCGCTGCCAACAATCCGTGAACGCGAGATACCGGATGTCTATGAGCCCATGGACGATGATGATTTGGAAGATAGTTGCTACAAGGATGATGAGGATGGGATGGCACCCTTGGAGAAAGATAAGTAGTAGTGTTTTGCTCAGTTTTCTGGTGACAGTGTGTTCTTGAAGAAGTCTTGTGTGCTCTGCATGACTTTTTTTTATCCGGGCAGGCTTGAAAAGTTTTTTAGCTGACCGTAAACGTAAACCCATATCAGGCAAGCGTACGGAAACGTAAGTTTACTTCGTAAAGTTGCGTAAACGTAAACCAGCGTAAACGTACAATGTCAACTTAGAGCCATCCCCCGAAACATCTCCTACCCGCCCACGGGCTCTGCTCCCTCTGTGGTACGTACGCGCCAGTGGTGAAGTCCCCCACAGTTATCTGACTAGGTGGTAACCCAGTTACCCGCCAGGCAAAGGTGGGTCCCTGGCAGGCAGGCACTTTGATAAGAGAGACCACCAGACAGCATCTCCGAAAAACCTCCCCTGCTCCCTCTGTGGCACTCGCGGTCAAACTCAATGGGCACATCCCCCTCTGTGTCTTGTCGCCTCTTTTGCTTAAGCCCGTCCCCCGTTCTTCCTTTTCCCTTTTTGAGGTGACTTGAGAATCGTCTCATCACATTAAATGGGCAATTCTTGTCTTGTTGCCGCCTTTGCTGAAGCCCGTCCCTCGCTCTCTCTCTCCGCACGGCAATCTTACTTGATGAGACCGGTACGTCTTGCTTTCGTTCTCATCCATCTGTATTTCTTTTCCCGTTCTTCCTTCTCCCACAGAGTTTTCTTGAAAACAATCATCCCTGTTCCCTCGTTCCTCCTTCCCCCCCCCCCCCCCCCCCCCCTCCCTCCCTCCCACACCCCCTCTGTTTCTCCCTGTGCTTGCTCTTTTCTTCTTTGCCACTTAGTCTGTTTGCCACACCTACCCTCTTTGGTCTGTGTGCTTGCCTGCACGTCTCCCTGGGTGGTGCCTCCCTCCTTTGCTGTCAGAATGCACTCTGCAACGCAGTGACCTACTCACTTATGTCTCTCCATGGACATTTTGAGGCGCATCGGAAGTCCCCTTCCACCCTTATCCCACCACTCATTTCCCCCATCCCACACCTCCACCCCTCTGTTTCTCCCTGTGTCTCTTCCCATTCCCTTTGCCGCACCTACCCTCTTTGATCTGTGTGCTTGCCTGCACGTCTCCCTGGGTGGTGCCTCCCTCCTTTGCTGTCACAATGCACTCTGCAACGCGGCGACCCACTCACTTATGTCTCTCCATGGACCTTTTGAGGCGCATCGAAAGTCCCCTTCCACCCTTATCCCACCACTCATTTCCCCCATCCCACACCTCCACCCCTCTGTCTCTCCCTGTGTCTCTTCCCATTCCCTTTGCCGCACCTACCCTCTTTGGTCTGTGTGCTTGCCTGCATGTCTCCCTGGGGGGTGCCCTCCTGCTTTGCTGTCACAATGCACTCTGCGACGCGACAACCCACTCGCTTACTCCTCGCCATGGGCCACTGTGAATAACTCAATACACTGCACTACATGGCTGTATAACTACATGGATGTTATCGTTTCATGTGATTCAGTTTGAGCTTATCCGCCGGTTAAACGATGCGACGTGGTCGCTCAAGTGGGTTGCCGGGGCAGCGTGAAACTTAGATAGCACCACATTTCTCTCACTTTGTTCTGCTTTCTTTCACATGGTAGTGGATTTATGTGTATATGCGCCCCTCTACCCTACAATCAAAGTAGAATATTCACGCCTGGCCCTACGATATCAGGGATTTTACCCTGAAATTCCTGATTTTCAGGGTTTTTTTTTTTTTACCTACTCTGAAAATCCAGTGTTCAGCTTTTCCTAGGGCTGATTTTTCAGCCTTCACATGCCACATGACTCTGAACTTTCAGCAATTTTTTTGAAGTGACACTGATGCCTTAGCGTTGTAACGAGTTTGACCCTGAAAGCGAATCCTACTAGGTACGAGTGTACTTGACCGGAGTTACTGGGAGAATCAGATTCCCGCGGTGTCAGCAGGGCCTGTCGTTGACTATCGGACAATTTTGCCCACACTGATGGCCCCTTGGTTGGCGCGCCTGGTCCGTTCATTGGCCACATTTGCAACATTATGTGACTTGACCAATTACAAGGTTGCAGCATAGAGATGCTGGCAGGCTGCGCTGCGAGGGATTCTGGCTGTCTAGGTCGTGCTGGCAAGCACTGATGCATCCACGCCTCCCAGCCGTGCTACCTGCCATCCAGCCTCACATCCCGTTCTGCTGTTTGCTTCCTTCCTAGTGTTTTTACTACTAGTAAAATAAAGACTACTAGTATCAGCCTTTTTCTGTAGGGAACACTGATGCATCAGACATTTTTTTAAAGTAACACTGAACTTTCAGGCTTTTTTTTTTAGGCGACCCTGACGATCAGGGTCTAGGGGCAAAGGGACCCTGATACCCTTACCGTCTCCCCCCGGATATAAGCGCCACCCTAGGATAAGCGCCTGGCGCTTCTAATTGGCATATGGCGCTTATATCCCCTCCTCTATTATAAGCGCACCCCTTGAAAAAACTTGTTTTATTATAAGCGCACGTAAACTTTAAAATTTGAAATGTGTTCAAAAAGCTGTAACGATTTTTACTTTAGCAGGCGGATATGTTGCAGAATCGGTTCCCTTCACATTCGGACCCTGCACTGGATGCGGGTCCAGTCAGCAGGACCTGTCAGGAGCTGGATGTGAGTCAGATTGGGTGTATCTCCCAGCGCGCGCGAGAATTTCACAGACGATCCCATGTAACTTCGACTCGATTGAAAAGGCAAGCACGAGACCTACAGTTTGGTGTTAAAAGATATAAAAAAATATGTATGTCATTTTATAAACGCCGGCGCTTATAAATTTACTCGATTATAAGCCCACCCCCATGAAAAAACCTGTTTTATTATTGCCCCCCATGGGGGTATATCCGGGGGGATACGGTACGTGCCTAAAAGTGAATCTGAGGGCCTGATTCAAGCCAATCTGGAAGGATGCCACTTGCTGAAATTGGACACGCTATGCGCGCGGATGGTCCGGCCATTGGAAATGGGTACGGCATTGTTCATGCATCTTGGGTGATATTACGAGTGCAATTGAGTGATCGAGCGAGAATTGCACTATCGAAGCAAGAGTACAATGAGCGAAGGCGTGAGCGAAGAATATATAGCGAAACTACAGTGGTAACGGTAATGGACCGTGGTTGTCTTGCATAATGCGAGAAAACCACTCGTGAAGTCTTGAACCGACTCGAGTTGCTGCCAAGTACGCAGTCTCTGACGCGTCGAAATAGAAGCCGCGATTGGCTCAAAGCACGCACAAAGCCGTGCGCACCACGCATCCCACGTGCTGTACTGGGCGGTTCCGCAGAATGAACTCCAGGTGACAGCTGGACCCATGGGTCCTTTCTCTTGCGATGGTGGCTCGTAGGCACGTGGCGACGTCACGATGACTCGCCACCAGTCCATGGCGGGGCCCCTCAGCAGCGAGACGACATATCGGATCTTCCTGCATCGAACTCGACGTAATTCGCGTCGAAGAAGACGTTCATCGTAAAGACCCACGATTGAACCGTCGGACCTCCACGTTGGCTCGGGTCGAAGTAGGGCGGGCGTTGCGGCTTGAGTGGCATTGGTGCCATAATGGTCTGTTCGCCACTTGTCACCGCGAACTCCACGTGCCGACGGGCTTCACGAGGCTCCCGCGGGCTTGGTGCGACCCTGTTTCCCCCCATGCCAGGCATCATTTGGGCAGCGCCATCACTGGCTGCACCTGAGCGCTGTCCCACGCTGTCGTGTGGTGTTGGTGTGCCGGACGAAATGACGATCGGCACGTCCGATTACGCAGATACATTTGTTGGTGCGTGTGGTGGCGCTGGAGTATTCACCGTGGATTGCTGACGCGTGGAGTCACGTTCCGCCGTGAGCGTTGCAATTTCGAGCGCCGATTCTTCAACTTGGTGCACCAGACGGTCAAGTTGCTCCTGCGTCAACGTCGCACGTGTGAATTCGGCCATGGCGGGAATGTCGAGCAAGCTCAGTGAGAGCCTCTGTGATGGCCGTGCGTGCTTACGAGAGAGCACTACGAGCGGCGGTGCTGTGTCGCTGACAGACGTCTACCCCCCCGAAAAAATTGAGATAGTGAGGAAGCGAAGGTGTGGGTGCGGTCCGAGAAGAGATCGTAGGCTCTGATACCAAGTGTTACGAGTGCAATTGAGTGATCGAGTGAGAATTCCACTATCGAAGCAAGAGTACAATGAGCGAAGGCATGAGCGAAGAATATATAGCGAAACTACAGTGGTAACGGTAATAGATTGTGGTTGTCGCGCGACGGGCCTGGGACTGAGGTTTGGGAAAATGTCGAAGCGGAGGCCCGGAGCGCGGGTTACCTTTCGAGCCGTGAGGTCGGGGTGCGACGTGCGAAGGTGGCGGGAGGATTGTCGATGCGAGGGTTTGCGAGTGGTAACGGTGCTGACTGTGGTGCTACAGTGGTGCACGCGAAGTAAGGAAAAGGAATTTTCCTTACAGGTGACATGTTATTGGTTATGAGGAGCTAGCATAAGTTTTGTGTAATTGGTTATTGTTGAAACCAGTCGACCTGATCCTACCTGGATGGGTGAGTCCAGTTCGTTGATGGAAAGTGCGTATGATGCGGTAGAAAATGCTGCGGCAAAGAGCAACACGCGACTGTACCATCATTCTAGCATTCGTCTACACTTCGTATGAGCTCGCTGCAATGCAAACTGTTTTTCAACAACAATGCGAGGTTCAGCGACGCACTTTGATTCGCTAACATAGAAGTTCCACGTAACCATTTGTCAAAGCTTCCTCTGCTTTCGCAGCTTGATTCTGCTCTCAGCTCACCTCCCCATAATTGTTATGAGTGCAATTGAGTGAACGAACAAGAATTGCACTATTGAAGCAAGAGTACAATGAGCGAATGCATGAGCGAAGAATATATAGCAAAACTACAGTGGTAACGGTAATGTGTGGAAAATGGGGTGCACGATGGGCCTAGCGCCGAGGTTGGAAAATGTCGAGGCGGAGGTCTGGAGTGCGGGTTACCAACCGAACCGTTAGGTTGGGTCGCATCGTGAACAGTGGCGGGAACAGTGTCGAGGCGAGTGTCGCAAGTGGTAACGGATTACTGTTGGGTGCTGTTGGCGGGAACAGTGGTGTACGCGCTGAGGTTGGACGCGAAGTAAGGAAAAGGAATTTTCCTCACACTACCCCCCCAACCCCCCAACTAAGGAGGCCCTCCTTACGAAAGCGCGTGAACATCCTGGAAATTTGGACTGCGCAGATACTCTGTGAGGACGAGGTGGTTCTCAATTCTGTCCAGGGGAAGCCAGTTGTCCTCAATGGGCGTTCGATCTTTCCAGTGGATAAAAAAATCGATTCGACGAGCTCTCCGTGGGTCACGCACTCGGTGGCTCAAAATCTTATGGGGCGTGATAATTGGTTCCGTCGGCAGTCGTGTCATGCCGGCTGGGCGGTTGCAGGGTATTTGACTGGTGGATGGCACGTAAGGGCGAAGTAGGGTGACGTGGAATGACGGGCTGACGTACCAGTCAGCAGGGAGGAGGAGGTGGGCGGTGACGGGTGTGATCATGTGGCTAATGCGAAATGGCCCACAATATCGGGGGCGGAGTTTTGAGGTAATGGGCAGGCGAAGGTTCTGGGTGTCGAGTAAAACTAGGTTGTCACGCTGGTAAGTGACAAGTGAGCGGTGGCGGTCGGCGTTGCGTTTAGGGATGATGAATGATTTTTTAATTGCGTCTGCTGCCCGGGTTCGTGCTGCTTGTAAAATTTAGGCGAACTGTTGCGCGCGTGGCACCGGGTTGTCGGGATTTGGGATCATGGGTACTGTGGGGTCTTGTCCGTAGTTCAAATAAAACGGTGACTGCTGGGTGGTGGCGAATGGCGAGTTGTTGAATGTGAATTTGATGAGTGGCAGCTGTTGTTCCCAGGTGGTCAGGTCGTCGCAAGTGGCTCGAATGAGTTGCTCCATGGTCTGATTTGTCCGTTCTTTCTGTCCGTCAGTCTCGGGGTGGTACGAAGAATTTAACCGTAGTCGCGTGCCGAACTGCTGCCACAGGTTTCGCCAGAGGTTGCTAGTGAATTTCGTGTCGCGGTCGCTGATGAT